GTTTATTCTCATATGCTTGAAAGTTACAATTGCCAGAAAAATCAACTTCACTTCTTATTCTGTTCATTGAAATATTTTAATAATCTGTAATTGAAGTTAAAAAGTCCTTCGGATGTTTCCAAACAAAGCATAGCATTGTTTCAATACTTCCTGCATTTCAGCGTGGTTGCGATTAGGTTTTGGAACCTCCAATTCAGATATTCTTGGCAAAATATTCTGCACAATTCTCTTGGCACATTCCAGATCCCCTTTTTGTAACAACAAAAAGTCTTGATCTTCTATTCCGATGTCAGTTTCAATGACAGGTAATTCCCGAAGTAATGGCCAGTCATGCAAACAAACTTCGCAGTTACAATCGAAATAATACTGATCCTTAAGTTTCATCTTACGATCTTGTTTATTCATAAGTGCATAATGGTATCTGAAACAAAAGATCAAAATTAGTGAAAAGATCACTAGAACATGGATTTTGTCCTGAAAAATTGAAAATAGTTAATGTTTTACCTATTCATGAAAGAGGTGACGAAAATTCAGATGAAAACTATAGGGCAATAAGATTTTCTGGTTTATCAAAATCATTTTGTGTCGAGAGTGATTCCTAAATCTCTAATTGTGTTTATCGTTTTCAGTTCTGATTGATTGATTTTATATGGCCGGTTAATGGGATTTTTGTTTCGGAAAAAAGTGAATTTTTGACATATTTATATTTAATTGCAGTAGATTTATATCACACCAGCGAACAAAGTTAGATAAATCGTTCTGTAATAATTCTGCATCAGTTGAGTCATGAAGAACTCAAAACATCTTCAGGTCATCAGCAAACAAAAGAAATTCACTATGAAGAATAACATCGTTCAAGTCACTTACAAATAGGTTGAAAAGCAATGACCCTAAATGAAAACCCAGTGGTACTCTGTGAACCGATTTCTTCTTGAAAACTAATTTTTTCAGAATTGAACCATATTGGAAAAGTAGAAGCTTTATATTTTTTTAGTGAAACATAGTACTCCAGAGCTTGCGTACTCCAGAGCAACACTTGCGGGTTGCGGTGGAGGCTCGAATAGACCCACTCACTTTGGACCTAACCTAACCTAACTCCAGAGCTGTATAGAGAATATTATAAAAATTTGTAACTACAATATTTAGGCGAAAGAGAAGGCGGAAGCATTCGCGGACAACTTCGAAATGCAGTGCAGAGAGAACGACGTCCCGTTCACGGACGAGGTAGACAATATAGAGAGACAGTTGAAAAGAACGGTACGAAGAATAAGACAAAGACATCCTGAGACGTCTATCCACTCTGAAAGCACCAGGCCCTGACCGCATAACAAACCGGAAAGTCCTACCGCGCAAGGGTATAGCAGCCATAACCAACATCATAAATGCTATACTCAGATTGCAGCACTTCCCGTACCCGTTCAAAGAGGCAACGGTTATCCACATCCCGAAGCCCAAGAAGAACCACCTATTCCTAGATGATCATAGGCCAATAAGCTTACTGCCTTCCATAAGCAAAGTGGCGAAGCGTTTCATCTTGAAGAGACTCGAAGATCAAACCACAGTGCTATAGGAATCCTACCGGATGAACGATTCGATTTTAGATCAGAACACCCAACAGAGCTACAAGTCCTGAGGGTAGTAGACTTCGCAACCGAAGGCTTCAACCTCGGCAAAGGATACAACACCGGAGCTATCTTCTTAGACGTCTCCAAGGCGTTCGACAGAGTTTGGCATGGCGGACTACTAGCCAAGATGAGCGATTTGGATACACAAAACCAATGGTAAGATTAATTCAGTATTTTCTAGCTAACAGGCGATGTCGTTGCAGAGTAGGAGACGAATTATCAACAATTCGACAACTGGACGTGTCCAAGCCAGAGAACAACTTTACCAAGTTAGCACTCTACGCGGACGACACGGCTCTGCTGGCGAGATCTATGAGCCAAGCGCATGTCACGAGATATTTGCAGTCACAGGCAGACAGATTAGAGGAGTGGGCCAACCTGTGGAAGATCAGTATAAACCCTGACAAGAGTCAGGCGATACTGTTCACTCACAGGCTTGCACAACCGGAAGGCAGCGTCACCTTCAACGGGCAAGAGATTCCGTGGACCAACAAAGCGACAGACCTGGGGGTCGTCTCAGACATGAAATTGACATTTCAGTCTCACGTACGGCAGAGAATCGGAATGGCTAGACACGCCAGACAACGCCTGGCACCTAGTTTAGGATGCAGAAGCAACATGGGGTTGAAAGTAAAGTTGCTGATGATCAAAACCGTTCTCATGCCCATGATACTGTAAGCCTGCACTGCCTGGGGCCACTGCCACTGCCTGGCACCATACTACATGATCAGAACACCCAACAGAGCTACAAGTCCTGAGGGTAGTAGACTTCGCAACCGAAGGCTTCAACCTCGGCAAAGGATACAACACCGGAGCCATCGTCTTAGACGTCTCCAAGGCGTTCAAAAGAGTTTGGCATGGCGGACTACTAGCCAAGATGAGCGAGTTTGGATACACAAAACCAATGGTGAGATTAATTCAGTATTTTCTAGCTGACAGGCGATGCCGTTGCAGAGTAGGAGACGAATTATCAACAATTCGACAACTGGAAGCGGGGGTCCCGCAAGGAGCACTCCTTTTGCCACACCTCTTCTCCGTATATACAGCGGACGTGTTCAAGCCAGAGAACAACTTTACCAAGTTAGCACTCTACGCGGACAACACGGCTCTGCTGGCGAGATCTACGAGCCAAGCGCATGTCACGAGATATTTGCAGCCACAGGCAGACAGATTAAAGGAGTGGGCCAACCTGTGGAAGATCAGTATAAACTCTGACCAACAAAGCGACACACCTAGGGGTCATCTCAGACAGGAAATTAACATTTCAGTCTCACGTACGGCAGAGAATCGGAATGACTAGACACGCCAGACAACGCCTGGCACCTATTTAAGGATGCAGAAGCAACATGGGGTTGAAAGTAAAGTTGCTGATGATCAAAACCGTTCCCATGCCCATAATACTGTAAGCCTGCACTGCCTGGGGCCAGTGCGGATAGACATACAGGAAGAAGATACAATCGTTCATGAACGCGAGCGTAAGGACCACCGTAAACGCACCATACTACATATCAAATAGATATATATACAGAGACCTACACCTGGACACGCAATATGAGGACGTGTATATGAGAGAACACGCAGAAAGGGTGTTCGATAGAATCAGATCGCACAACAACCCAGCGCTACGCGATCTACACGATGCGTTAAATATGGATGACCTCAGACCCCGAGAAAGAGACAAACACCCAAGGCCAACAAAACAGAACCAACGAGCATCCCCACGAGTCGCCGTTAGGCGACTCAGGTAAGCATAAAGTAATCATATAAACTCTCTTTCAGGTAGGTTCAACGCAGAACAATTCGACCGCGACCGCGATTCACTTTTCCTTAGATTCACTGAGGAATGCTCGACGATAGCAACAATAGCCGCCGCGCCGGTTAGTTTTTGGGGGTTCTCATGCAAAAAGAATAGTCACGATAAAACAATCAACCGATCAGAAAGAATAACACCTAAAGGCTGACTTTCGACCAAAAGAGGTCAGCTGTGAATCTTGCTGAAGTGACCATCAGTAAGTTGAGGACCGCTCGGAGTGCGAGGGTGGATGGAGTGGAGTATTCCTCGCAACATTTATTTTGTGGGGCGAAGTTTTTACTTCAGGGCACTCAACCCGGGAGGGGGCAACGCTCAGACATCGCTCAGGAGCCGCACCGCACCGTATGACCTAGCCTTATAAGGCGGTCAAGCCGTAATTTCTGGATTTCCGCCATAGCAACCACTGAGGTGTGAGACGTGCGTTGTCTTGGTGGAACAGAATTTTCTCTTTCTGCAAATGCGGCTGTTTTTCCGCAATTTCTGCCGTCAACCTAATGAAAAATGATGCGTAGTATGGTCCCGTAATGGTTTTCCCTTTTTGAAGATATAATCGATTAAAATAACTCCAGGATCATCCCAAAAATCTGTCGGCATCACTTTCCCAGTAGAAAAAAAGTTTTTGCATTTTTGGAGCCATTTCCCCCTCTACATGCCACTATTTGGACTGTATTATTGTTTCGGGCGTATAATGATGTATCCAAATTTCATCTACAGCAATGAAACGGCGGATTTATCGCGCCCTAACTACACCAGCAGGACAATGGAAATGTTCATTCGAACACGTTTTCGGTCTGACGTGAGCAAACGCGGCACCCAAAGCGCAGACAGCTTTCTCACGTCTAAGTGTTGATTTAATATAAGACAAACACTTTTGACATATTCATATAACCTTTACTATCTCTATTACTTGAATTATGCGGTCGTTTAGCACCGTTTGGTGAAATTTGGCGGTGTTTTCGTTGATAGTTGCAGTTTTTGGAAGTTCCGAATGTTCATCGTCTTCCAAGCTCTTACGGTCACATTTAAAATCAGCTGCTCAAAATTTCACTGTGATAAATGATGGTGCAGACTCGCCAAACACAGAATCTATCTCATCTTTGATTTGCGAAAGCCTATTGGCTTTCAAAAATACATATTTGTCCTTTTTCATAAAAACACTCACATCAACTCATGGAAACGACTGTTACATAACAACTGCGCGTCAAAAACCTCTGAAACTTTGCCCTTGGCTAAGATTAACGTGTAGGAGTAACTGTCAACAGATGAACAACGAAATTCATTAGCTTTTACTTAAGAGTGCTGCTATCTTCATGTTGAGGTCGATAACTTTTCAGTCAGTCGCATTATGAAGATATATTCAGTACATAACAGTATTTCTGTTACAGTTATACACAGTTTCAGAACGTGACATTTTTTCTCTTTCCAACTTTGGACAATAAAAAAAGGTTTGAAATTTCTTTCTTTCCAATCTTCTCTTGGCTGATCGATCTCTTCCTTCGGATGATGTCATCTCTTGTTACATATTTTTGACGAATTTTATATATAGAATTCATTTATTTTACAAGTTTGGGTCGACGAAAACAAAGTTCTGTACGAAAGAATGAAAATTTGACAGCTCATCTCGCTTAAAAATGACAAATCATAAGATTTGGTTGTCTCAGTAAAGTCAAAATTCAATGTTCCGCGGTCCAATTGATATAAAAAAGTGTAATCATAAACGAAATGAATACGTAACTTATTGGATTATATTTATTTGAGTAATGAGCAAAGTTGATTGAAAGTTGTAGAAAAACTGAGGTAAACACAGTATCAGGAAGATTTTAGAATGAGTACAACTTCATAAAGATGAACGTGAGAGTTGTTTATTGATGATATACATTTTGAATGAAAATGGAAGGATGACACTTTTTCGGAGATGAATAAAATTACTTCTCAGTTATTTTTAAATGTAAAAGTCAAGTGAACAAGTTCTTCATACAAATTAACATTGATATGCGATGAATTTGATTAAATGTAACAAATCTTCAAATAATATATGATTTGTATTTATATGTTATCAAATAGTACTTTTGAGAAAATAAGTATTTCGAAATGGAATTTCAAAACAATAATCTCTCCCAACTACCTTTACAGTAGGTTCTGGTGAATGCCTGCCAGAAAACAACTACTTCTTCGGCTAATACCATGCTGGATATTGAATTATATGCAACAGAAACTCATGCACAGCTGAGAGGTTAGTCTCGCAGATATTTCCCGTTCGTCCAGCATCAGGACAATGCTGAAACTATTCGGGTAGATTATCTACAGATCTCATCAGTGCAGATCCAACCCAAACAGACAATTTTTGATCTCTGTTCGAGTATTGGTACAGCAAGTGCCAAACGTAATGGCGAGCCCGCCTCCATGCACACAAACTCATTTTCATTATACACCCACCCCTACAGCTCTTGTAAGACATACACTCAAAAATACACTCAACACTTATTGCAATATACTCAAAACTTATTTCATGTTGAGGAATTGATAATAAGAAAGTAAGCCAAATCCATAATTATGTTCTTTTTAGAAGGTATCCTTCAAAAAAGTGTAGATAATTTCCGTGGCAACGTTAGTTTAAAACAACTTGTCAACTTGTTTTGTATGTTACAACATAAGTTGTCAGTATTTTTATTTGAGTTTAAAGTTCGTTAAATTCAAGTCTGACAAATGGTTAGATTAACGGAAATGCATAAAATAACAGTTTTACAAATGATTGGTTTCGGAGATAAAACCCGAACGCAACAGGTAGTAGCTCGCCTATTTCATGAGAAATTTCTTAATTTACCGTCCATATCTCAAGAAACAATAAGCCAAATAGAGAAGCAGTTTTGTGAATTTGGTCATGTTGGGCAGATTGAAAAAGCAGCTGTCAATGTAATAAGTGATGAACTCAAATTATATGTGATGCTTGAATTTGAGGAAAATCCACATACAGCGACTTGATAGGCGTCCATAACATTTAATGTTAGCCATACATCGATAGTAAATATATTAAAAGCAAATAAAATACATCCCGATAAAATGGTACCTACTCAGGAGCTCATGGAAGACGATATTGATAGCACTTATGTGAGCAAATGATGGACATGTTGGATAACAATATCATCCAATTAGAAGACGTTATGTTTTCTGATGATGAGTGTACTTTGTCTCTTAACATTCATGTTGATCGGCAAAATTGCCGCTACTTGTCAACGGAAAATCCTTACAGGATGAGAGAAGAACACACGCAATACCCTCAAAAGGTTAATGTTTGGCCAGGGATCGTAAGAAACCATATCATTGGTACCTTTTCCATCGAGGGCAACTTGAATGGCGATAATTATTTGGCACTACTTCAAAATGATTTCATTGGAGCACCACCTCATTACCAACTTAATGTCCGGCAATACCTCGATACAATATTCCCCAATCGGTGGATATGGAGGCGAGAAACGATTGATTGGCTAGCGCGATCATTGGGATTCCCATTTGAGTTGGTCATCTATAACAATCCCGAGATATTTAAACTGTTTAACAGTTGTGATATTAAACAAGCTGGACACATTGAGGAAAGTAAAAGATGGTGAGGAGCGCGCAGAAGCATAAATTGGTGGGTAGTACGTTTTGGTGAAATTTATTGTGAGGAGTTTATGTGAAAACCATTTTCTGATATTTCCGAGATCAACCTCTACTTTATTTTTCAGGAAAGACCAGGTGGTGTCCTCATAAAAAATGGCTGTGTCATCAGCATATGTGAAAATTTTTCCAATTGTTGGAACTGGGAATAAGTTATCAAGGTAAATATTGAAAAGAATTGGGCCCAGGGTAGTTCCCTGGGGCACACCATATTCCATATTCTTGTATTGACTTTTGTGGTTTCCAATTTTTACGCATTGCTTTCTGTTCAGCAGGTAACTCTGAAACAGCTTTAGTGTTGTTCCTCTTATACCTATGTTTTCAAGTGATTTGAGAAGAAGTGGGTGGCTAACTGTGTCAAAAGCCTTTGACAGGTCTATGAAGACACATATAGATGCCTTCTTGTTATCCATAGCAGAATACATTTCAGTTGTTGGGTCTAGAACAGCATCTTGGGTCGACACACCTTCTCGAAAACCATATTGTCGACAGGAAAGAATGTTATATTTTTTGAGGTGGGACGATAGTCGTATTTTTATAATTTTTTAGAAAATTTTGGCTACAGGAGTGATCAGTGATATTGTTTGATAGTTTATAGCTTCATTTTTATTGCCGTTTTTATAAATTAGGATCACTTGTGTCAATTTCAGCGCGGATGGAAAAATACCGTCTATGAAAGATTTATTCATTAAATATACTAATGGTTCGGCTGTGAATGGCCTCTAGTGTTTATTGAATTTATTATTCCGTTTGTGATCCATATTTTCATTTTTTTTTGCTTAGACTTTTTTTGTAGCTGTATTCTGGAATTTTATCATCTACGATTTCTATAAAAAAAATTGTTGCAGATTCTACATTAGTTCCGCGATATACTGGTTTCCAGTCAACCGTCTGAAGATGCACCCTAAGTTTGATATAGTCTACTGCTGTACCATTGTTCACAACCCGTTCAGTTTCATTAATTTTTTTATCTAGTACTATTTGGAGATATGTAGTATAGTGGTCTGTGAGTTTTGTTGTAATGATAATAGGTAGTAAGAAATAAGTGTCGGATTTAGTTCTAATAAATATGTGATCCAGACAAGATTTTGTATTCTCTGTCACCCTTGTCACCTTGAATTTGAATTTATATCAAAGATATCAAAGATATAAATTCAAATTCCCACATAACATTTAGGTATTCAACTGTTGATATATCCATATTCTCATTCATTATGTCAATATTCATGTCTCTAAGAAAGAGGAAATAATCCGCCTTATATGCTTTCAAAGAATTTACAAAAAGTTTACAACAATAGGAAGGGTTTTTATACATAGCGAGAATAGATAAACTTCTGTTATTGAAATAATTATGGCAAAGGATCATGTTGTTTTCGTTGCTCAACTTCACTATTTCATATGTGAACTCAAGATCTGATTTAATGAACATCACTATACCATCGTTCTGATTGTACATTCCTTCATTGTATACTATGTTATGACCATCGATGTGATATAAATTCAGATCTTGAATTTGTCTCGTCTCAGTGAGAACAATAACTTCTGGTTTATCATTTAGTTGTTGCAAGTAACATAATGAGTCGTTGAAATTTTTATGTATACTCCGTATACTATTGTGGATTATCTTAAAATTTGCCTTATTGTTGTTTATTTTCACGACTTCATTACATTCTGCCAGGTTAGATAATATTTCTGTCTCAACTGTACTCAATTCAAAATTCTTAATATATTTTTCCATTTCACAGGTCTGGACCTTTTTGGACCTTAGTCCCAGTTCACACGGAAGGGACAAAGGTTCGCGCCTCGTTTCTGCCAGACGTCCATTCTGTGTGAATTGGGCCTTAGACTTTCAGATCCACTCCTTCACTTTTGCCGTCATTCAGTCAACCAATCAGCTACCGTGCGTACAGCAGGAAATTCAAACCACCGGTAGATGAACAAAGAGACTTCTGACTTACTTCAAGGTCGCGCGTCGTTGGTAAGTGTTTCAGAGGAAGACTTCAGTGAGTGGAAGAGAGAAACAAACATGTGATGCTGAGAAGGATGGAATGAGTATCGGAAAGATTCAAAGAGCGTAGGTCTCCTTGGGACTCCGCCACACCCCCTCGGGCACCCTTGCTACTCCGCCTCAACCCTCGGACTCACTTGGGACTCCGCCTCACCTCTTGGGCCCCATGTTACGTACTAGTCACGTGGTACTTATTGAACGCGCGGTAGCTGATTGGTTGACGGAATGACTGAATGACGGCAGAAGTGAAGGAGTGGGCTCTGAAAGTAAGGCCCAATCCAAACAGAATAGACGTCTGACAGAGACGAGGCGCGGTCCTCTAGTCTGAACTGGACCTGAGGTTCAAAAAGGTCCAGAATGAACCCGCTCAAATTTGCACGTGTTTTTCCAAAAGGAATGGCTTAAAACTCTCCTAGCGATATTACTCTCGTGAGAATAGAAACATGCTTACCCATAATTGTCATTGCATTGTTCTCCTTTCTTGATAGTCTGAATAGCTCGTAGAACGATTACATTTCCATGGCAATGCCTAACCACATTGGGAGAACAGCTATGATTGAATAAACTCAAGAAAGAGTAAGCACCCGCTCCAATTTCATCCAATTCGTAAATTTGGTTCGTGTTTGCAGAAATTTCCGAGATTTCGTGGAAATTGCTGGGTGCAGTTTGCAGATGATGCAGTAAGATATCTTTAAATATAATTTCCTCTTCCTCCTTCTGAAAAAAGTGTGTATATGTCTTGACAAGATGGTACATTACCGCCGTTGATGCCGATCTTTCGAATAAATCGGACACTGATCTTTTTTCGGTATTGCTCATTAGATTATGGATTTCTTTATATCTGCTAGAATAATATTTTTCCCCAATATCCATCCTATTCAGGTCTTGTATTAGATGATACATATCTTTAACAATCAAACTTATTTTTAATGGTAACATTTTCAGTTTATTCAATTGCAGATTTCTTATAGTCTTGAGGATACTGCATTCGTATTTATGATAATATTGTGCTTTGTCCCGACATTCTTCACTGCAGTAGAGCACTCGGGTACAACTCCCACAAGGAACTGAATGATAACTTACCTGGAGACATTCGTGACAATGATCATAAAAGTGATTTATCAAAATGTGGCAAAATGGTTTCTCTACGGCTAAAATCTCACCAACTTGAATATTTCTCTTTGCAACTATGTGTCTGCCTATTTCGTTGCTATTTCTTATTTCTACCAAATTTGATGCGCTCTCTATTAGATCACTCTGTAACTCTCGTGGAATTCTAGGTAAAGGTTCAGCATTTGAATGGGTATTTTTAAATTTGAGTTTTTCTGCCTTTTCACGGCGGGCTTCAAGCTTCCATCTCAATTTTTCGGGATAATCGTGTTCTAAAGCATATTTGATGTCCTAAAAAAAAAAATAGTTTTGAAATTAATATTGAGTGTGTTTGAGGTTGGAATTGAACAACTGACGAAGACTGCATACACAAAATTGCACTTCTACTCATGACTCAAATATTCGTTTATTGAGTAGAAACATTATATTTCAAAAAAGTTTTCTTTTTGACTTGTAATAGTTTTTAAATTTCATTTCTATTGATATGAATGTTGTGTATATGTCATACCAAAGATACTGAAATTGGTGGAATATAATTAGTGAACCTAGTTTTTGCTTCTTTCAACATAATTATCGTATGGCGGCAATGAATCCGTAAAAACGGATCCCAATATACTTTCTATAATATTCTTGCACATTTTTTGAATTCTTATGAGTCTTTCCAAAATTGTTACCGTTCTCTGTCTAAGATGAATGAAAACCGACTTTTTTCATAAAATATGACTTTCTTACATGTCTTTTTTTCGTAATTGGGGAAAAGGTGGGAAATGAAAAATCAAGCTTGATTGAGAGAGTAATTATAAGTTTTGAGATTGTTTACGACAATAATAAAAACAATGAGATTATTTG